CCTACCTCCCTACCTACCTCCCTACCTACCTCCCTACCTACCTACCTACCTACCTACCTACCTCCCTACCTACCTACCTACCTACGCAGGGACACATGTGCATATCATGGGTGCATGTCGTTCTCTTGCGAAGATGATGTGTATGTATGCATACACCCACGCACATACATACTTACATACAGACATACATACATGCATACATGTATGCTTACGTGTATATATGCACACACGTGCATACGCACATGCACACATGTGTTTGCATATATATATATATATGTATAAGTATAAGTATGTGCTAGATACAAAGTACACACATACACATATATATATATATAAAACGTTGCGCGTAGACGCATTTTCTTACGCATGCGTTTCATGTAAGCTCCACCGGCAAGTGTCTGTTTAGATTTGCCGAAGGCTGTTCACATCACATACACATTTACACAAATCAATGAATAGTTGCATGGAAAAATACTTTTGTCCCCAACGAAGTTTATAGTAAAAAGAACTTAAGCATAGATAGGACTTCCCTAAACACTAAACCCATTCTTTCCCTAAGCCCTAAACCCTTACAAACAAGAGAATCTAATATAGGTGCCAAAATTATTACCGATACTATTTTGGGGTTCCTTATTGTAAGTGTAGTGTAATGGGCCCCAAAGCCGTATTCTAATTATTAAGTTTACAGAAACCCTTATAGCAGCCCTTTTAAGGAACTCTTTAAAGGAACCCTATTCTACATGATCCATGCAGGCGGTGGAGATCTTGAACCCAGCATGGGACTTCCTGGTCTTCAAGGCTTCATGGTTTTGTGGCGGGGGCGCTTTACCTAGAGGATCAGGGTTCAGGGTTTAGGGTTGGGTTCGGGGTTTAGTGCTTGGGGTTTGGGGTTCGGGGCTTGGGGTTTGGGGTTAGGATTTAGGGTTTAGGGTTCAGGGTTTAGGGTTTGCGGGTTTGGGGTTTTGGGTTTAGGGTTCAGGATTCGGGGTATGGGGTTTAGGGTGTAGGGTTCGGGGTTTGGCGTTTCGGGTTTAGGGTTCGGGGTTTGGCGTTTAGGGTTTAGGGGTAAGTACGTAGGGTAACAAGGTCGTTAGTTAGAAGCCTAAACCCTAAACCCTAAACCCTAAACCCTAAATCCCAAACCCTAAGCGTTAGAAGTACGGCTTTGGGGGTTTAGGATTTCGGTCTTCGCGAGTTTCGGGCCTGGGGCTTGAGGGGTTTTGAGCAATCTAAGGCTCGCGATATATGAGGCATCGTAGTCCCTCAACCCAAAACCCAAAACCCTAAACTTACAGCAGACAGTTGTAGGAAGTTTTCGGAGTCTGCGTTTTTGCAGGCCAGGCCTTCATCCACTGGGTTCCGTTAACCCTAAACCCTAAACCCCGTAACACCTAAACTACGGACCTTCAGTTTTTGGGTTTTAGAACACGGGTGTAGGGGGGGGGTTTACGATTTAGCTTGTTCTTAAACCCTAAACCCTAAACCCTCAACCCTAAACCCTGAACCCTGAACCCTGAACCCTAAACCCTAAACCGTCTATCGATTTTCAGGGTTTGTGCTTGGTGGTTTGAGTTGAGGCTTCTTTTCAGATTTCGGTTGCTGGGGTTTGGAGTGTTAGGGCTTTAGGGCGTTCAGGCTTGCAGGTGTTGCTTTCATTTAAGATTTCGGGTTTCGGGTTTAGGGTTTGGGGGTTCGGGTGTAGGGCTGGGGTTGCAGGTTTCTGTGTTGAGTTTTGAGGGCACTGCTAAACCGGCGTGGTTGGGACATGCAAATGGCAGGACATGATGTTGGATGCCAGCAAGCGTGTCTTCTTTGCCATTGACTTCTGAGGGCCTCCACTGCACCATGCAGTAGGTTTGATCTTTACAGATTTGTTTCTCTGGTTTCCCAGCGTCTCAGGTTTTGCGCTTAACGTGGTAGCCTTCGACTTAATCTGCGGGTTCTGTTTTGCGCTTGAGCATTTCGAAAGGTGTTACTTTACTTGAAGCTTAATTCCTAGACTAAGACAGTCGGACGAGATGTACAGCCGCTTTGAAATTGTTTCCAATTTGCACCTGAGTGCCTGAGTGCTCGTTGCAGCCAGACCTTTGCCCACTAGATCCCAGGGCCCTAGGTGTCAACTCATCCCTTGTTTGGCGTGTAGGGTTTAGGGGTTCAGGGGTTTAGGGTTTAGGGGTTTAGGGGTTCAGGGTTTAGGGTTTAGGGTTAAGGGTATAAGACGCTTCAAAACCGAATCCACAAACCTTCTCCTAGGCAGTATGAGGGAGACCCCTTAAAGGGGACCCTTCTTAGCCCTTCTTGTGACTCTCTTAACAGGGACCTTATAGAGCCTATATCCCCAAGATTCCCCCTAAGCCAAACTCCAATTCTGGCCATCTCCCCTGAACCCTGAACCCTAAACCCTAAACCCTAAACCCTAAACCCTAAACCCTAAACCCTAAACCCTAAACCGTAGCCCTAAACCCTAAAGTTGCTTTCGTTCAGCGCTTCAGTTTTCCTGGCTAAGTCTTCTGCAGTCAGTGCCCCAAACGTTCTCAGTTTAGGGTTTACGTGGACCGTAAAAAAAAACTGTCCGGGACTTTCACAAGTAAGTCACAAGAAGTAGCCCCAAGAAGGTACTATGTTTTGGGCCTCGGGTTCAGGATATTGCTGCCGAAAGAACGAAAAACTAGACATTTCTTTGGTTTGAAACGTAACACAGAACCTCGAATAGTTACACACATATCACATAAGTACCAATGCTCTCCCTTAGATTTCGTTTCTCAAAGCCCGACATATTCTATTTCTTAAGGCCCCTAAACCTCAAACCCAGAATACCCAAAACCCTAAACCCCTAAACCCTAAACCTTAAACCCAGAATACCCAAAATCCTAAACCCCTAAACCCTAAACTCCCGAAGCCCACTTCTCCAGTCCAAAAGCTACCACGTCGCAAGTCCTTTATTGGAGTACTTGCCTCGCCCTAAACAGGAAATGCTCAACCCTAAACCCCAAAACCATCCTGATGTTTCTAAAGCCCTAAATGCCAAAGCCTGAACCCTAAACCCTAAACCCTAAACCCTAAACCCTAAACCCTAAACCCTAAACCCTAACTCTAACCAGCCCTGCGCCCGAAGACCGATGCCGCCAGAATCCCTCAAGCTGCGACCCATCATCAGCCGTGCAGAGGGACAGTGGCAAAGCCACGGTCTCTTGAAGAACTGAGAGACTCCGAAACCCTTCAATTACCAGGGATCTTTGGGATCTTTGATATGAGTTTGGGGTTTAGGGTTTAGGGTTTAGGGTTTAGGGTTTGGTTGCGTGATCGTAGTTTGGAGTCTCTTTGGAATTCTGGCTCCGCCCAGCGGCACACGCAGGGTCGATAAGGAGATGTCTTCAGTTCGACGATCGCATCCGGGGTTCATGTTTTGGGGATTGTGGCCGGGGTTGCGGTTCAGGCTTTCGGGATTAGGGTTTAGGGTTTAGGGTTTAGGGGTCAGGGTTTTAGGGTTTTGGTGTTGAGGGTTTAGGGTTTAGGGGTTTCGGGGTTTAGGGTTTAGGGCTTAGGGTTTAGGGTGTTTTGAGGGTTGTGCTAAAGTTCCTGGCTGACTTTGTGTTGCTAATTTCCCCCCCAAAAAAATAAAGGCACTGTGGTGTGCAGCTGGACGAGTCTTCTTTGCTAGATGTCGGGATGACATCGGTGGCCTGTCTCCCTCCAGAAATTTTACTAACCGTAGGGTTTAGGGTTTAGGGTTTGGGGTTTAGGGTTTAGGGTTTAGGGTGACACTTTCGCTGAGTTCCACGCGCATAAAGGGACTATATGGAGATCTTCTTGGCTACCATATTCGATTAGGGGGTTTAGGGTTTAGGGTTTAGGGTTTAGGGACCCTAAACCCTAAACCCTAAACCCTAAACCCTAATTGAGATTTTGAGACCCGCAACCCAAAAGCATTGCATCCTGTGGTGTTAGTTTGGAGTAATACAGGGGCCTGAATAA